TAGAGCTTATTTGGTAAAGATTAAAATTGGATTAAAACTGAAAAACTAGCCATTATTGTTAACTTTTATTAGACGAGCGGGACCCAATAACGACTATATTTTCAATTTTAATTTGATTAAAATTCCTCCCAAACAAACTCTTAATAACGTAAGTTTCAACTTTTCTAAAAAATTATATTGAAGATAAACCAATTGCTCATTTAAACCAGTCTTCGCCCAAGATGACTCGTACATGTGGGTCATTTGAAAATATCATTAAATAAATGCAAATTTTTAGATGAAGTGGATAACATTTTTCTTGTCTTCACGATCTCGAATAACTTGCGTTTATGTGTTGAGTTACCATGTTTGTTTCATCGAAAGAAGATTACCTGTTGTTTCTTCGAAATGTCAGTCATTTATTCTCGTAAAATTGTGATCCACTCGACAAAAGCCCTCCTTCGGGCAAGTGTAATGTCGTTGGCTTCTTTTCTTTACGTTCCACCCTCTAGTCCAGGTCTCCATACTTTTTTTTTCAAGGGTCATATGAAAGAGTCGTTCGAGTCAACTCATATCCATCTCTATTACATAAGAATATGCTTTTACATAATTACAAATATAAATTAAAGTTACTATTTAACAATTTACCTATGGAGAGACTTTTAAATGAAATAATTAGAGCTTATTGAACCCCATTATTTTTTAAGAATGAATTTTGGAATAATAGATTGATGAAAAATGCGTGGTTAAAAGATAAGGAAAATTTTTGAATTTGCGTGTAATATTATTTTATTGAAGAATGTGTCGTTGAAAAGAATAGAAAGAAAAATGTATTTTGGAAAAAATTGGGATCAAACAATTCATTTTCTACTTTGACGATTGAAACGTGACTTTTTGAAAGACTGCCTCTGACTCTCGACATATAGAGGGTGTTTGGTGTAGATTAAAATCAGATTTTAAGTGGATTGTGATAGAAGTTTTTGAAATGTGTGGTTGAAAAGATGTGGGACCCATGAAAATATTGTTGATATTGATTGTTTGATTTTGACTTAGATTAAAATATAGCCGGAACATGTTTATAGTATATATAATATATCACAATATGTAACTAGAAAGAATTGAAATTGAGAACATGAACTGGACTTTGTGGGCGGTGATGAAGCTACTGATTTTACGGCTGTAATTTTTGTTCCTTTCCGATAAGAAGATGATTTTATGCATAAATTGAGGAAATTCAATCTACTAATGTCTATTTTGTATGGGTCATTTTATATATGATATATAATTTTTTTTCAAATATTTGTACAAATGAACATTTTGGATCAAAATGCTGACAGAAAATAGCCCTAAAATGTAATTCAAATTTCAAGTTATGTCATCACAAATGACCAAATATTTAAAACGGTAATTAGTAAAAAATATCTCTATCGTCTGTACTCATTATGAAAATAGTTCCTATTGTTTCAAACTTGATATTTACACCCTCATTTCAAACCTTTATTTATTTATTTATTATCTTTTTTTAAAAAAAAAGGAATAAAAAAAACAATTAGTTCCTAAAAGGAAACCTCATTTCAAACGTTTCTTGCAGAATTGGTTATTTTCATCATGTTCCGTTAAATCTTTCCGTAAAATATATGTAATTTGTACAAGAGGTTCATATCGTTTGTTTTCATTGCGCAAATCATCCATACCGTTTCATTTATTATATTTGATCGATATTTCTTTGCGTAAAAGGTTATTATTGTCTATTTTCCCGTTAAAGCATTATAAAATAATTATTTTATTATACTCTTTAAATAAACAAACAGAAAAGAAGACATAATATTAAAAAATTGAATCTACATTTCCAAGTTTTTTAAAAAGTACAAATGAGTCTCATGTTAAATAATTTAAAATATGTTAACGAAAAAAAAATATTTTATCTTTCCAATTAAGCCACATACCCCTATAGCTAAATCCCCTAAAAACTGTTGTAATTTCTGAAACTTAAAAAAAAAAAAGATATTGAAATATAAAACTTGATTATAGAAGAATAGCTAAATTCTTGAATGATGCCACAGTAGGATGGGAGAATGGGACGGTGTGGTGGTGGTGGTGGAGGCGGTCGTTGGCAGAGTGTGAAATTAAATGAGGTTGCACCTTTTTTTTTTTTAATTCTTTTCTTACTCTTTTTTATACTTTCAATGATTTTGGTTTGGTGGTGGTAGTGGACGGTAGGGTACGGGATGGGCAAGGGATAGGAGGGTTAATTGGATAAAATATTTTTCTTTTATTAGAATGTTTTAAATTATTTACGTGAAATTTGTTTGTACTTTTTTAAGAAATTGGAGCTCTAGATATAATTTTTTCCTATTTGATGATCTAAAGATAAGGTAAATTGATCATTTTACAATATTTTAATGGAGAAAATAGAGGGTAAATACCATTTTGTGCAAAGAAATGTCGATTTGAATGTCCAAATGTCAAAATTAAAGCGATTGCACAATAAGGCAAACGATAAGGATGATTTGCGAAAAAAAGGCAAACAATAGGGCTATTTTGCACTAATTACCCATATTTCATAAAATTATTTAACAGAACATGACAAAAAGGACCAACTCTTAATTATTGATTCCTGATTGTGTTAT